TTCTGTGATTCTGTGATTCTGTATTTTTCTCATTTCCAAACGGGTAAATATATACAATAAATTACTGTTATGCCACTCTGTGGGGAGTCATCCAAAGTCAAGGTTAAAGCCGTTAGGCTAGTATCACTCACAAAGTCTGCAGAAGAGCTAGGAATTTAATTCTGGTTTCCTGAGGCCCTGTTCCATTACTGCACCTGTTAGACTGCATTTATTTTTCCCTATATTGTTCCCTGCTTGAGCTTCACTTCCTGAAATGCTAGTGTCTAGCTAATAAATCCTCTTCTGCATGGATGAAATGAATTCGTATCATATCTCCATTTATTAAGGGAATCAAGCTGTGTCACTTCTGAAGACTGCCTTTATGGATGTGTTTGGGAAACTACAAGCAACAATATTAGACATTCACCTCACTTAAAATAAAGAAGGAAAAGAAGCAAGAAAAGGGATACAGCTGCATGTCTGCAGATGTACTATTTGGTTCTTGTATTACCACAGCTAGAAAACAGACCTGGTTGATGTACTGTATCACTAGTAATGAAAATATGCTAAATATTACATTGCACTTGGCATATTGTGTCATTCATAACACAGTGTTACATGGCCTTGATCATACATGTACAATTCTTTCTGTTTATGTCAGATAGGTTGCTTGGATTAAACATAACATTTTCTGTATTGTACGAAATGACAATGAGATTTTTCCAGTGTAGAGAATCCTGTGTGTTTTTATTTTATCAAGAGAAATGCATTTATCTCCAGGTAATTTATGCAGTCGTGTTGATAGAGCTCCCAGTAAGGACATAAATAAGCCATAAATGAATGGAGTTATCAAAAATCCCTGGCCTACAGACTCTTTTTTTTTAATGGATGGAGGAAATAATTTGCAGTCACAGCCTTAACATTTCTTGATGAATATATCACTAGAGTTTTTTTCAGTTTTGCTAGTATATGGAAGCTGTCTCTGCTTCTTTTGTTGTCAGTGGTGTGTGTGTGTATATATATATATTTTATAATAATATGTAGCTCATGTTATCATAGAATCTGAGTTTCTTTCAAGAGCACAGTAAGTGACAGTTGTGGAGCCCAGGTTTTTTCTGTCCGCCTATCACCAGGAGGATGGGCATGTGCAGTATCTTGTCTTAGTAGCCTGAGTTGTTGAGCGAGTCCAGCGTCATGCACATGTCGAGTTACCAAGTGCTGAGAGCTTCACATTTAGGTATGTCAAGTCACTGTAATCTGTCGGAGGTCTGAATGAAGTAAGACCATGTCTTTGGCTGGTCAAGTCGTGGCAGTCTCTCTCATCTGGTTATCTTTAAATGCATTTTATGGGGGGGTAGTCTCAGACTGGGTCATATTTTACTTTTTTTATACCTTCTTGCATCTTGAAATCTCTCTAGGAGAGCTTAATATCAAGCTATGCACTGAGTGGGCTGAATCGGGTTAGGGGAAGGTGAGAAATTTGCATTGAAATGAAAAGCTGTGAAAGGGATATATATTTTTTTCTCCATAGTAGGATTGCTCTGTTTTGTTTTGATTCTGCTTTTGGCAACTGTGCTTGACCCATGAGCTGCTCTTATCTGAATAGCTGTCTATCTTAATGGCACTGGCAGAGCCGCATATGAAGCCTCGGTGCACCATCTGCATTGTGCTAACACTTGTAGCAATGTTGTCTGGCAGCTACATTCAGTGTCTGCATATGGATGTTGAGAAGAAAAGGGAGAATTGCTCTTTGTGAGACTTCCTAAGAGATCTAATGACAGTGATGCAGTCCTTTCAGTCTCTTCATTGCATGCATCATTACAAAAAGAATATAAGGCATTTTACTATCACCTTGGGCTTTGGCATTTTTAGATGAAGTAGAGATTCATTTTTTAGATGAAGTAGGGATTTTTCTCATCAGTAGTTCTGAAGGGTGCAGAAGTGTGAGAACTAACATTTTCACTCTGGTCAGTGACAGAAGATTATCTATCAGCTTAAACAGTTTGAAATGCTTATCGGATTCTATGTCAGGTTCAGAATACTTGCTTAAATCAGGTGATTTTTGAGTTATTTCTATAACCTTTCACAGACCTTGGCATTAGAAGGATCAGTGATCACAGGTCCGATCAATAAAGTTAAGGGAAACATTCAGCTGTACCCCTGTAGATCTGTGATTTTAGATGACTTCAGATATAGGAGGTATGATAATTACATTTCTTTTGTGGGTTTAATAACAATTATCAAATTTTGATTTCAGGCTTTGCAACCAAGTCTGACTTCTGAGAAATCAGTGTCTGAAATACCTGAAGCAATGGATGACTACTTCTGCAATTTCCTGGTCAGACTGGGAATGTCCAGAACCCTTGACTGCTTCCAAACTGAATGGTAAAATGTTTTAAGTGGCCGTGTTACTTTGAGAATTAGGAATTAGATGCTCAGGATTCAAATATTTCCAGTATTTCAGGATATATTTCCAGAAAACTCTTCAGAGTACAAGTAACTCTTAAATATGTAGTGTTTTACCGGGTAAATATATTCATGTTGAGCACGAGGATGCGAACTGTTGTTTTAAGGACAGGCTTTCAAGAAGGCTGACTCCAGGGAGCTCCTAAACAGATACCTTTGAAGGATGTTTCGCCTAACTCTACACATTTGTAAGCCTGCAGTGGTCACTTGAGGCATCTTTTGTGACCAGTGGGGAGAAATACTCATTTTCAGGATGCAGCTCATCTGAGTCATTTAAACCATCTCCTTTAAGATGAAATTAATTCAATCATATTTTTTTCAAGTGAATTCTGCTCCCTGCTGACTACCGACAAAAACTAGAAACCATCTGCGGCACAGAAGCCATCACTGGATCAAATGAGTCCAATGCAAAATGACCAGCATTTCATTTCGGCAGTGCTGAGAAATCATGTCTTGTTATTTTCTTGCTTTCCAGAACATGGCTGCCTGCTTAAAAACTGAATATTTTGTAGTATGCTATAATATCTGCACCTTAATTGTTTGGGTGGGTTTGGACATTCATCATAGCTACCTTGTATTTGAAGTAGAATAATCAAAATTTTTGATACTTGGTAATTTTTGGTACATCAGTCAAAATAATATGGTTGGCTTGTTTTGTTTTTTTTTTAAATTTACTTCATGTAGTGTCAGAAGAGTAAAGTCTTGAGCTGTTGCTATCTTTTTCACCAGCTTTTATAGATTGCAGGGATGTTGTCCATAATTTGTGTAGAAGTTTAAACATGTGGCCTTGTCCAAATACTCCACTTCCTCCACCACTTTCTTCATATATGGAATCCCACAGGATGTGTACTTTTTTGATATTGATTAAGAATGAGGTGCCAGCAATGCTGCAAAGCTTGCGAGGAGAGCTGAATTATTTTGGAGCAAAAGATGACACTTGTTGTAAAGTTCTGTTGAAATACTTTCAGTTACAAGCTTGCTTTGAATCTGCAAGTTACATTGGAAATATTCCGAGGAGTGGAAACACCTCTCTTTGAATTATCTTGTAGTCAGTCTTTAAACATGAGAGGTTCAGAGATATTTTTAATAGTCTTTTGAAACTGTTTAATTTGAAAATTAATAAATTTGAAAAGTTAGAAACAATCTTTTTCTACAAAAGTCTTGAAGCTTGTAAGTTTTCTTAGACATATTCTGTAATGGGGAATCATTGCTGTCGTTTGCAAGGCTCTGGTCTTATTAGCATAGAGCTCACCAATCAGGTGTTGCCTTTGGAATTAATAATGATCTGCTTTTTGAGAGCATAACAGTGTGACTTAAATGATTCCTTAGAGAAGGAGCACTATAGTTCTCTATTCTTTTTCAACAAAAGAACTGATAACATTAATTTTGAAGTTTAACAGTTTTTATGCTAAAAGATAATTAATACTAGATGGATATAAATAATGACCTTTTTATGAAACTACAGCTTTCTTTGAAGCACTTAGAGTTTGAATTTATATCAATGACAAAATTCAAATTGTTTTTTTTAACAGAGCAAATGCAGGTCTTAGCAGGCCCTATCTTGTAAATCCTTAGCTATACATATATTTTTTTCTAAGGGATATTTTTAATTTCAGTAGCCTTACAAATGAGCTCAGCATGTCAGGATCTAATCTTACTGTATTGATACTTTTTCTGCATTCATACCTTGTTTCAAAATGTTTCATGTTGGTTTGAAATAGATAATTTACAATATTAATGAAAGTGAGAGCAGATTAGTGTACTCAAGTTCCTCATTATGTATTGGGATGAAACTCTTGCTCTTATGCTGTGGTGATCAAGTACTAATAGAATTTAAAATGAGAAATTAATTAACGTAGAGAAAATTTATCAAAAGGCTTGCTTTGAAATAATTGTCTGTCTGAGATCTAAAGGTCACTTAAATTGGACCAAATTATCTGTGTTTATTTCAGAGTTTCAGAAAACATTCTGTTATTCTGTCCAGCTGTATAAAATGTCATGATTTGATTATGTTTTATTTTAAGCCAAACCCGCTCTTTTTCTATGATGTAAGGAATAATTTTATCACCCTTGTAGTGATTTTTTAGCTTAAGTAGTTTTTTTGCACATACACTCTTTTCTTCTGGTTATTCTCTACAGAACTTAAAATTAGGCTTAAATTATTTTTAGAATATCTAATTTACCATTGAATATTCTGTTCCTTTTATATAAAAGACTTTATAGTGCTTCTGTTTACTTATGAAAGATATTGCATTGACAGCTTTGGAGTAAAAGTGCAAGGGCTGATAAGCTGTAAATTCATGCATCTGACAGTCTATACCTCCTAATCCCAAAGAGCTCACTGCTGCTGGCAGCGTGTTGCCAGTCTGACAAACAGATGAATCATTTCCTGTTCATGCATATGCACGGAGCTATCACTGTGATTAGATAGTACACTCATTGGACTGGTAATCTCTGACTAAGTGTTCCTAGAGACCTGGCAGTGTTTCAGCTTGTGAGTAAAAAGAGAGCTGCAGAGTAATTGTGGAAACATGATTTGAAAATTCTTTTCTGTTTGATGTGGTTAAAATGAGGAATAAACTTGTGTGACCAAGCAATGTTAAAAGCCATGTCTGTCTTGTGTATGCCTTGCAAAGCTCGCCTGGTTTGTGCATAACGGAGGGCATGCAGCAAAACTACTATGTCGGGAGTGATTCGAGACAGCCAGCATGGCTTCCTCAAGGCCAAGTCCTGCCTGACCGACCTAGTGGCTTTCTATGATGGCATGACTAGATCAGTAGACAACGGAAGAGCTATGGATGTGATCTATCTGGACTTCTGTAAAGCCTTCAACACAGTCCCTCACAACATCCTTCTCTCTAAATTGGAGAAATATGGATTTGATGGGTGGACTGTTAGGTGGCTAAGTAGTTGGTTGGAAGGTCGCAGCCAGAGGGTAGTGGTCAATGGCTCGATGTCCAAATGGATGCCGGTGACAAGTGGTGTCCCCTCAGGGGTCTGTACTGGGACTGGTGCTGTTTAACATTTTCATCAATGACTTAGCGAGATCGAGTGCACCCTCAGGAAGTTTGCAGATAACACCAACCTGTGTGGTGCAGTTGGCACACCAGCAGGACGGGATGCCATCCAGAGAGACCTGGGCAAGCTTGAGAAATGGGCCTGTGTGAACCTCATGAGGTTCAGCAAGGCCAAGTGCAAGGTCCTGCATCCAGGTTGGGGCAACCCCCGGTATCAATACAGGCTGGAGGATGAGGGGATTGAGAGCAGCCCTGCCAAGAAGGATTTGGGGGTACTGGTGGATGAAAAGCTTAACATGAGCCACCAATGTGCGCTGGCAGCCCAGAGGGCCAACTGTGTCCTGGGCAGCATCAAGAGAAGCATGGCCAGCAGGTCGAGGGAGGTGATTCTGCCCCTCTGCTCTGGTGAGAGCCCACCTGGAGTCCTGCGTCCAGCTCTGGAACCCACAGCATAAGAACGACATGAACCTGTTGGAGTGGGTCCAGAGGAGGGCCACAAAAATGGTCAGAGGGCTGGAGCACCTCTCCTATGAGGAAAGGCTGAGAGAGTTGGGGCTGTTCAGCCTGGAGAAGAGAAGGCTCCGGGGTGACCTTACAGCAGCCTTCCAGTACTTGAAGGGGGCCTATAGGAAATCTTTTCAGCAGGGCCTGTTGCGATAGGACAAGGTGCAATGGCTTTAAACTATTCGAGGGTAGATTTAGACTGGATATAAGGAGGAAATCTTTTACGCTAAGAGTGGTGAAACACTGGAACGTGTTGCCCAGAGAGGCAGTGGAGGGCCCAGTCCTGGAAACATTCAAGGCCACGTCGGATGGGGCTCTGAGCAACCTGGTCTACTTGAAGGTGTCCCTGCTCACTGTAGAGAGGTTAGACTAGGTGACCTCTAAAGGTCCCTTCCAACCCAAAGCATTCTATGTCTTGATTCTGTGTCTTCTGTGAGCATGAAGGTAGACTCATTACAAAATAATTCCTTTTTGCAGAATGGTGAAAATTGGTATAGATTGTGATCCTCCATGTTGCAACTCCCTGAAGACAGTGGAAACAATTTACTTATTTCAGGCAGACCTAAGTTTCCTCTGCTCTGTGTCCTCTTTGGCCTGGAAATCATGTGGTCGTTAATGTACATTGTGCTCTGAGTTCATAAATCCTGAAAGAAATGAGGGCTATCAGTTCCAGGACAGCATTGCACTAAAACAGATGCAGCTTTTGGATTAGAACTGGCTCAGGACACAAGTGAAGTAACCTCAAGTTTGGTTTGCAAACAGGCACGTGGACACACCTACTTTCTTGCCTATGTAACAAGCATAATATAAATTTTCTACTTATATGCCATAATAGGTTGCAGGAGTATGCTAGGACAAAAAAGTGCTTTATTTTTCTGTGTTCATTTCTTTCTTAGCCTTCTGTTGAAACTGTTTAAAATGTTATCAGTTGGAATGATAATTTTCAGTAAGAAGTTCTTGTAAAAGCTGGAACTTGAAATTTTAATCCCTGAATGCATTTCTAGGTGAGTTATCCCTCAGTAAAAGATTATCCTGAGCTACATATCAGTTAGTTTATTGCAGGGCCTCTCTGCAACCTGATTCCTTTAGAACTCTTAGAAACTTGAATTTAATGTAATGTATATAGTAATAATCTATAATTTTAAGTCGGTCTGTGCTGGGCCTTGATCATAAAATCATAGTTGACCATCTGTTCCTAAGGTTTCCAGATTCTTGGTTAATTTTAAATAGTGATTCAAGAACAATAACTCAGTGGTTCTGAAAAGCTTAGCAAAATGCTTGTGTGTGCATGGAACTAACTAATTCAATTTGGATCACAGTTCCCTTCTATAGTGGAAAGAAGTTAGACCAATAGCTATTTGGCAGTCGGCTAGGCATGTAGGAGTTCTGTAAGTTTTACAGGACTAGGTTGATGAAAGATAATGAGATTTCTCAATGCAATTTTGTGTGGTTTCTATTCCATTTCTATTACATGCACAAAAGCCTGCATTTTTAGTAGTGTTCTTAGACAAGAGCATAGTGAATTTATTGGTATTAATTGTATTTCATTAAAACTGTCTTTTAGATTTCTTAGGTCTGCTGGAGGCTAAGTTCATCAATTATCCATGTGTGATGTGTCTTCGTGCAGAAATTTGATGGTTTCATGAAATGCAGTTAGGGCATTCAGAGGAAAACATTTTCTGGCAAATAAAGGAGTATGTAGAGTTGTGATCATTTGTAATGAGAAGTGCCCTTATTTTCAATATTTTTCAGTAGGAATTGTACCTGCTTATCAGTCAGTGTTTGTTTAGGGGGGAAAAAAAATCCTACCACCAAATCCAAAAATGACTAAGCTTCTTTCTTGGTATTAAAGCCTCTTGCTACTGTAATTTGCTTAAGAAAATTAAGTGATGATAGAAAGAATTTTGTTTTGGACATGTTCATTTAACTTTTCAAAAACCTTTCATCTACTGGTGGTGAATGTGAGTGACAGCTTAATTCGCAGGGTTAACCATTCCTGGAAGTATGCACAGAATGCAGAGATGTAGCTGACTGTAGGAAGTCATTTGGACATAAAAGTTTCTAACATTCTCCTTATTTTTTTTTTTTGGAGCATGTTAAATAAGAGTTGCTTATCAAGTAAGAAACTCTTACTCTACAAACACTTTTTCTTTCTGCAGTGTCTTTTATTGATCTAGAAATGCTGTGCTTACTGTCTTCAGGTTTCAAATCTGCTGCTTGTGTCCAGGTGCAGGAGATAGCATTTAGTAAAATTTTTATCTCTACTGCTGTTCTTTTCATACTTCCTTATTACTTGGGGAAAAAATGCACAGATTCAATATATTTTTTTTTTTTCCCCTTGAAAAGGCAAATAATGTTTATTTTATTCCTTTTATTGAGTTCCCACCCAGAACATCTTCCATCTGCAGTCAAGATCTGCCGGGAGGAAGATTGAGGGCCTGTAGTCTTTATCTGATATAAATTATTTATAGCTCCATTGAACCTATGCTGAGTTGATATAGTGGCTACAATAGTGCACAATGTCTTGCTCTTCAGTGGGTCGATAAAAGATTGTACCAACTGAAGGTTTTACTGTTGTCTTCTGTGACAGAGGTAAAGAATAATAGAATCATAGATTGGTAAAGACCTCTAAGATCATCAAGTCCAACCATCAACCCAACACCACCATGCCTACTAAACCGTATCCCGAAGTGCCATATCTACACATTTTTTGAACACCTCCAGGGATGGTGATTCAACCACCTCCCTGGGCAGCCTGTTCCAATGCCTTCCAGTAATGAAAGTTTTCCTAATAACTAATCTAAACCTCCCCTGATACAACTTGAGGCCATTGCCTCTCATTCTATTGTCAGTTACTTGGGAGAAGAGATCAACACCTGCCTCACTACGACCTCCTTTCAGGTAGTTGTAGAGAGCAATGAGGTCCCCCCTCAGCCTCCTCTTCTCCAGACTAAACAGCCCCAGTTCCCTCAGCCACTCCTCATAAGACTTGTTATCTAGACCCCTCACTAGCCTCATTGCCCTTCTCTGGACACGCTCCAGCAACTCAATGTCCTTCTTGTAGTGAGGGGCCCAAAACTGAACACAGTACTCGAGGTGAGGCCTCACCAGTGCTGAGTACAGGGGCACAATCACCTCCGTACTCCTGCTGGCCACACCATTCCTGATGCAAGCCACGATGCCATTGGCCTTCTTGGCCACCTGGGCACACTACTGGCTCATGTTCAGCTGGCTGTCGACCAACACCCCAAGGTCCTTTTCTGCCAGGTGGCTTTGCAGCTGCTCCTCCCCAAGCCTGTAGTGTTGCATGGGCTTGTTGTGACCCAAGTGCAAGACCTAGCATTTGGAATAGAAGAAATAGATGTTTTGTACATACATGTGCTGGATTCTGGAATCACCTCTGCAATGTCTGCTTGCACAGAAGCATCTTATGCTTGTGTATGTAGACTTGAACCTTGATCTCTTTTGAAATAATTTGACAAATACTGATAGCTTATAATTATTCCTTGAACAAGCATGATTCTGCAGAAGCCTTTATTTTGTGTGGTGACAGTCACATTTTTTGAATCAAATTCAGCTTTTATGAATACGTTTCCAATATCACGGCTCTCTTTTTTTGTATAGAAGATACTTAGGTACTTTAAGTTACTCTGTGTTTGAATGCCTTTAAATTAAGCCTAAAATGAATAGTGCTAATGCCTATGTCCTGTTTACTGCCTGTTAGAGTAGTCTTAGCTTGCGCTGACAACCTACCTATAGATGAACAGTCTTAAGAGATATGAGACTGAGTAGACTTTATTGCCAGGGGCTATAGAGATTCCTAGGTTGGTACACAGCATTACATGCTGCTCCACATTCGCTTTTACTTCTCAAGATGCTGGTTAGTCTGTACACTTATTTAACTAAAACAGCCTTCAGAATCACAGAATAGTGTTTTCTCGGGGGGCGGTAAAATAAGTAAATATTGGTAAATATAATTAAAGAAGGAGAGGGCAACATAAGTAACCAGGAAGGAATGAAGAAATTTCCCTAGGTGTATTCCATGTTGATGATAGCTTACAGAATTATTTATCCAGGTTATCCACAGCTTTATAATCTTATTTGAGTCCTCAAAAAAAAAAAAGAAAATCTTCATATGTTTGAACATAGGAGATGAAAAGGACTGTGAGTATATCTAAATGTTATTTGAACAAGAACATTTTTTTCTGATTTTTATGTTATTTGGGAGAAAGGAAGGAAAAGAACAATTGTTTAAATTGAAGTACTGTGTTATATCAGATGTCTTTTAACTGCTATGAATAGTTATATATTTTAGAATGAAAAACGATAAAATAGAACAGTATGGTGGGATAGTACTGTTGCTATTTGTTAATGATATCTTTGTGATTCTAGTTTAGGTAAATGCTAGCATGAGAAGGAACACATCAGTGAAGTGAGAAAAAGGAAACATGGAAAGAAATATCTCTCCATTTATGTTCTACTAGGTATGAACTCATACAGAGAGGTGTGGTCACAGTCAAAGATATTGGATTGGTTCCAGCTGTGTATACCCGCAACCAGCAACTTGAGGCTGAGAACATGCATCTGAGGAAAGATTTGGAAAACTATAAACTTGCTGCAAAGTACGTTATTTGTTCTTAATGAAACTTTGATATACAGTAGTAAATGGTCAGATAAAGTAAACCCAAGTACTTAATGGAAATAATAAGTTGCTGTTTGTTATGCTGGCTGTGCATATTTTTGCTTCTAGGTGACATTTGTAATTAAACTTCAATTTTCTCTGAGCTCTATTAGAAACCTAAATCTTAATTTATTGTATTTGTATTTACTGGGCTGTAAAAAAATAATTTTCAGTATTCAGTAGTCACAACAAATTACTACAAAGAATCATGGGAGTATAATATGTAGAACTAGAAAATAAATGGTTATGTGCCGTTTGTGTTAAAATAAAGTACTATAAATTACAGCAACCACAAAACAACATAGGAAAAAAAATCTTTGTACATTTATTCTTCATTTTTTTTAATTGCAAAAATTCTATCACTCTGGTGCTAGTGGTAAATGGTATGTCAGTGTAAATTGCCATCGTTGTTTATACGTGTGTGTACATTGTAGTAGCTGATCTTAGAAGTCAGTTGTACTTCAGTCATAAGAGAGTTAAAATATTTAGCCTGTATAATGGAGAGATGCAAAAATGAACTACATGTAACAGCCTTTTCTGAAGAATGATGCATTTGCACATGTATGTGTTCATTGAGAATTTACCCTGAGACCTAATAATGCACTCCCTTTGATTTTGCCAGTGCGTAGTTTTAAAATACAGAGCTTTAAAAAGATGTTAACTACATCTCTTTGATTTTCCTCAAGATTGCTCAAGCTACTAATTTTCATTTGGATTGTTCCTTTATATGAACAACAGCTACTCAGATCTTAAATAATCATTGCTGCTGATAATAATAATAATAATCAGATTATTTTCCGGTGATAATGACTTATTACATTTTAAATTAATAAATTCATTGGCCCTAGTCTAATAGTTAAGTAAACAACTTAAATAATCAAGTCAGATGTCGTGTAGTCTAAATATACTGTTGCAGTGGGACATGAGCCATATAGAAAACATTCCTTTATTTTAATCTACAGCTTCTTTGGAGAATGGGTAGTTAGGGATTGTGTCTCTCATTGGAGTGGGAGAGTAAGAAGCAGTAGTGCATAGTGAACGACAGACAAAATGTGGCCCTTCTGAAATTTATTATTGTCAGCAGTAATTTTAACAGGCTTTCCTTTCTTTTTCTTTCCCCACCTTTTTTCTTTCTTTCTTTCCCCCTGTATGAAGCAGAACATGCTGTAGCAAGACAGTCTGAGTGGATTATGACTTGAAAAGTGTTTTCCTGGGTTTGTTGCATTGCTACGTGATCGTTTAAGAACATAAAGCTCAAAAGAGTTTCACGGTGTCATGAATGAGTTGGGTTTTTCCCATAAGAATATCTATGTACTCTACAGGGTGCCAGAAAATTTTTTTATAGTAGGTGCCTAGTTAAAAAGCTGAAAGATGACGTGATATTGTGCAACAGGAAGAAAGCAGGAGAGACAAAAGACGTTGCCAGTATGCTAGGTTCCTACAGGCTATCTGTCAAGTGAGTGTCAAGAGTTTTATTTAAGTGAACAGTTCTAAAAAAATAAATCAATCCATGAACCGAAACCATGCCCTGCTTTTTCACATTCTAGTGTTTGATGAAATTTAAAATAGCGATTTTCTGGTGATAAAAGATTGAGTCATGTCACCTGTTCGGTGTACCGGAGAGGGCTGTGAGATATAGTGCAATTATATCTGAAGGCATCTTGAGATGTAGCAAAATCCCTAAATGCATATGTTAAAAGAAATAAATATCAGCATAATTTTCTTACTCCAAAGCTAGTGACAGTTATTACCTTAAAGTTTAGATACACTGCTAATCTTTATTGAAATTATTTCTAAAAAAAGACATTGTGTTGTGATAGAGTTCAAAACTAATTTTATGTCTGTTTGCCGTGTGACAGTAGTTAAAGTATACCTTAAGTATACTCCTTTTATCTTTCTTTTATCTAAAGTATACCTTAAGTGTACTCCTTTTATCTTTCTTTTATCTTGAAGGCTGTAGTTGAGCCCTGATTGATCGGTAAGGGATATTGTTATCTGCTGCAATATTTCTTGAATGGAAGCATGGATATTCTTTCCAATATGCAAGAAAAATTTGAAAGCAACATCTCTGAAAATTGTTAACTCTTACAGGAGACTAGTTAAGTTTAATTCACTGTCTTCAGTGATGATTTGTATCATTCAAGCATTTAATATTCTAGTAATATTTGCTTGGGAGTTGAATAATAGATTGTAATTTCATAGCAATATTAATCTCTGCCTATCTGATGATTTAAAATTGCTTAAATCCCATATATTTTGGTGTTTTCTTATGGCCAGACCCTTTATATTGCCTTTGTATTTGAACACGAAGGTAGACAACATAATGGTCTATCCGGTTAAGATGGTGTCAATCACAGGGACTTATAAGTTCTTTAAACATTTAGGAATTTATTAGGTAGATGGAGTGGAATTTGTGTACAGCTTTTGTACACAAGGTTTATAACTATGTTCACAGACATCAGTTGGGAATTTTAAGTATTTGCAGTTATCTTTCTGACCTGATTTTTGGAAGCATGCTCACAAATACACAACCACTTTACAGCCACAGTAACAGTCAAAATATAAAGCAATCTTGGAAATCATATTTATTATAACTGTTAGTGCTATCAGCAGCAAGAAAATCCACAGCTGATCTCCTGTGTCAAAATCTAACCGTTCTTGCACATATTTTTTCACTTTCTGCAAATAAAAAAATAAAGTGCACACTTTTTGTGTTGTGCACCACATTTAAATGCATCTGTTTAATTACATGGTACATCTAGCATTCTTGCTACTAAATGCTATATAAAGTAGATAGAAAACGTACACTCTCATGCTTTTACGCTAAAACTGTCTATATTTTGATGAAAATTTTAGGGCTACAACTTGCAGCATGTTGGGGAATAGTGTCCCACCTAAATTCAGTGGGAATAGGGCACATAACTCACCTCTGAAAATCCCTGCTTGGTTTTATGGGACCTTGCCCTCTTCTGCTGTTTTTATCAAACTGCTTGCTTGAGAGAAGTTTAAATGGAGACATCTGCAGTCTTTGAAATATATCTTAACTAAAAGAAATGGATATTGGCTTTTCTATGGCTGTAGCAACGTCTTTTACTCTTAGAACAAGCCTTAGAACATCTGCTTAGCTCTGAAGGGGCAGGTTTTGTATTCAAGATCTTGTGGTGAGTCGGATTTTGTGAGTGGTGTCATGATGGAGTTGTTTCACACAGCTATTCCGAGACGGCAGATTGATTTGCCTGTCAAATCTTTCCCTGTTCATTTCATAGGAGCTTGAGTAGAGTCATAATCTGTACTTTGTATCCCTTACCGATATCCTAAATTACTCTTTTTCACAACTTCTGGTATTTGTGCACATGCATACACAAAACTATGTCCATTCCCGCAGCTCCTTTGAGCTTTTCAGTGTTACTGCAGGGGCAGCCCTGCCTGTTTGCATTTCCCTACCAGCTTTTTCTCAGCTTTGACTGATACATAGTGGCATTAATTCACTGTGCTGGATGTCATCTATCTGGATTTTTGTAAAGCCTTTGACACGGTCCCCCACAACATCCTTCTCTCTAAATTGGAGAGCCATGGATTTGATGGGTGGACCGTTCGGTGGATAAGGAGTTGGTTGGATGGTCGCATCCAAAGGGTAGTGGTCAACGGCTTAATGTCCGGATGGAGACCGGTGACGAGTGGAGTCCCTCAGGGGTCCGTACTGGGACTGGTGCTGTTCAATGTATTTATCAATGATATGGACAGCGACATCGAGTGTACCCTCAGCAAGTTTGCAGATGACACCAAGCTGAGTGGTACGGTCGAGACACCAGAAGGACGGGATGCCATCCAGAGGGACCTGGACAAGCTGGAGAGGTGGGCCTGTGTGAACCTCATGAGGTTCAACACGGCCAAGTGCAAGGTCCTACACCTGGGTCGGGGTAATCCCCCCTAACAATACAGGCTGGGGGATGAAAGGATCGAGAGCAGCCCTGCTGAGAGGGACTTGGGGGTACTGATAGACGAAAGGCTGGACATGAGTCGGCAATGTGTGCTGGCAGCCCAGAGGGCCAACCGTGTCCTGGGCTGCATCAGGAGAAGCGTGGCCAGCAGGTCGAGAGAGGTGATTCTGCCCCTCTACTCTGCTCTGGTGAGACCTCACCTGGAGTACTGCGTTCAGCTCTGGAGCCCTCAGCACAAGAAGGACATGGAACTGTTGGAGCGGGTCCAAAGGAGGGCTACAAAAATGATCCGCGGGCTGGAGCACCTCTCCTATGAGGACAGGCTGAGAGAGTTGGGCTTGTTCAGCCTGGAGAAGAGAAGGCTGCGGGGAGACCTGATTGCAGCCTTTCAGTACTTAAAGGGAGCCTATAGGAAAGATGGGGACACTCTTTTTAGTAGAGACAGCAGTGACAGGACGAGGGGTAATGGTTTTAAACTAAAACAGGGTAGGTTTAGGCTGGATATAAGGAAGAAATTCTTTACAATTAGGGTTGTGAAACACTGGAACGGGTTGCCCACAGAGGTAGTGGAGGCCCCATCCCTGGAAACATTCAAGACCAGGTTGGACAGGGCTCTGAGCAACCTGATCTAGTTAGTGGTGTCCCTGCTTGCTGCAGGGGGGTTGGACTAGATGACCTCTAGGGGTCCTTTCCGACCCAAAACTTTCTATGATTCTACGATTCAGGTCTTTTTAACTGTTCCTGCTAAAAGCAAAAATTCACATGTAAATGTGATAGTTTGTATAGGTAACAAATATAGCAAATACATATATAGTAAATATAAAATATTTGTACAATTAAATATAATGCACTGGCAGTTATGAGTTTTCTTCCTGAACCTGTGATTTTTGGCATATTTCATTGTCATAGTGGTTTTCCTAACTCTTGAGAGTTTCCCCTCTTGTTTCCCAACTCCTGTTAGAGAGGAGGTGAGCTTTATTTTTGCAAAGATCAAATATCTAATTTTCCGTGCAAGGTAATTTCAAGCTTCCTTTGCAATTACACAATTCATCTACTAGTCTTTCCTGCCAAACCCATAGCAGTAAATGCAAGCAGAAGAAGCACGGAATATATGAAGAGTATTTTCTATTATGTTTATGGAGCAAAGTATGTTAGGGTATCCTGTGGCTGTGAGCAGAATGTGCTTGGAAAATAATAGGTTATCAGTAAGTTTGCAATTAATTTTGAAATGGATTTCTTTTCCTTCCTGCTGTCACGTACTGGGGACACTTGGGGACAGGCTGCAACCATGATTGAATAGAGCCTAGAAATTTTCTAGCACATTTTTTTTCCAGAAGCTCTCTAAATGCATGTACTTGCAAGGTAACAATACCGGTTATCCATCTGTCTGTGTCCTTCTAACATGTTCCATCATGTTGGGCTCCAGACGCAATGTAGATGTTAGAAAATGAGTATTGTAATACATTTTCATGTAGAATTTTAAACCCACAATGAATACTGTTTTCTAATCGCCTGAAATTTGAATGTATACCTCCACAAGACCCCTTGCTCTTAAAGTAAGGTTGACATCTGAGATTTGTAATGCAAGGATTCTACCTAAAGGAACTGAGGGAAAGTAATGGTGAAGAGGACCTATGGTTTTGTACATCAGCTGGCTGCAAAAGCACCTCAAAAGTACATGTTCTCCACCACAGGGCACACTACCAGAAGTTTCCAACTTGGATGCATTAGGCATGTGCATATTTGAAAATTAATTCTATGTGTATTTAACGTACCCTGATGAGCAATTAATAGGAGGAGACTAATACTTCTGTCTTACATTTTCTATTTACATATAGCAAAGCAAAAGAGGCTTTGCTAAAAATGCAGAAAGAACGTGACTTCCATCGGATGCATCACAAACGAGTGGTCCAGGAGAAAAATAGGCTTATCTGTGACATTAAAAGGTAAAAAAAAGATTTTGATTACCATACGTGTAACATTAAAGATCACATCTTCAGTTGTTGCCTGGTAATGAGATAACATTGTGGAATTTAAAGTGCTAAAGTAAAGCTAGTGGCATTTAGTTAGTGTCCTGGTATATAGCAGTTCCATCTGACCATTCTGCCATGTTGCTTAAACAATGTCTAATGATTTTTTTTTTAATATATATTTTCTATGGTATGTTGTGACATTAATAAATACATAGCATTTCTGACAGTACAAAGTGTAAATGAGAATTTCTTTTACCCAGACCTTTCTTCATAGACATGTAGTGATTTCTGGGCTTAGATTCTTTGTCCATTTAGAGGGTAGCTGGTATCACACTGAGTTCCAAACCTCTGCATTCGTGATTCCCATAGCTAGTATTTTCTATCCTTTTACATCTTGAACTTCCTATATGAAATCTGCTATGTTGCTTTGGTTGCAAATAAGCCCAAACTAGTCCATTGGTACTAAGTTATAGTAGTTTATTTTATAATATTTAATTCTGTAATTTTGTCATTCTGGAGTTCTGTAAGTTTTCTTTTAATGGTTATGCTTCTTTCCCTCCACGAGTAGAACCTTTATACTGTTTCTCTGAAGATCACTGGGCCGGGTGAAAGAGTTGAGTTTAGAATCTCTTCTTTGCACGTGTTCGTACCAGCAGTTGTTTTAAAATAACATTGGAGAGTGGTTTATGTCTGCAGCTCTAAACAAGTCGCAGAAATTTGGCTTGTCAATATTATTATCAATAAACACATGTAATAGCAACTACCTGTTCCACATCTTTAACCTTGAAATCCATACATTCTAATGCAAGAGAGCACTATTCACTGGCTTGCCCTCTGTGTCAGCTTTTTTTAAAATGCAGTATTTTCGAAGCTTAGTGTCCTGTGTTTCTTTTGAGAGATGATATATCTAACTTTTAGTTGTTCTGAAGAATTGAAGTGGTTAAGTGTTCTAAATAATGTGCAGTGAAGAAAGAAATAGTAATCGCATTATGACTGTTTTATCTAAATTAGGATCTAGCTGGTAGTCAGATAATAGCTGTGGTGCTCTTTCTTCCAATGAAATATCATCCATCTGCAAGAAAACAGAAATTAACAAAAATTATTGTGAACATGTGTATGAGGAATTAAGAACAGGTGAAAACTGGATGGATTATTTTAAAAGATATGACTAAACAAACTGAAATCTCTTATTGATCGGACTTCTTTTTTTGTGTTTTTTCTTGTGGTATTCCAGTTGGGTGGTTACGTACTAGATACTTTTGTCTCCACTGTGTTGACCTTTTGGCACTTTTATTCTTTTATTTGGGGAGGAAGAAAGTTGCATGGAGATAAATCTCTGATTTAACTGGTCTTTGAGGAATTGTTTGTCCTCCTCTTGTTTGCAGGCTGAAGGCACATTATGCATCATATGAACCAGTGCTGAAGCAATTGACTGAAAAATACCAGACTACACTGAGACAGAAAATGTTAACTAGTTTGGAGAGAGACAGAGCAGTTGGACAGGTAAAACTGTGGTGAACACTACTTGCAAAGCTGTAAGGAATGCTTTTGGTTTTTATGTTGGTAAATACATAGGATATTTCTGTTTGAAGCAGAATGTTTTAGTGGGTTTCATGTTATTTCGTGAAATGTTGATATTGAAAGTATGTGAAACTTTGTGCCACAAGGTTGTAGTTTAGGAAAAAGTACATTATGACGTCAGACAGTTTTTCTGTCTTGTGAATGGAATAATAGCGTAATATTTTATTCTTATAATCTTATCTGATGTATAGGTCGGTATACATGATATTCTGCCACTTTAGCAGGAACTACTATAAGCATAGATAGGATGGATGAAGAACAGAGAATTCTTGTATGTGTTTAACTGAAAGGTTGTCTGGTCAAAAGGAATGGGGGGGGGAAGAAGAGGAGATCCCAAAATGCATTGCATTTCAGCAGTAGCATCAACTATATGTGGGTAACATAGAAGAGAGTGCAAGCATGGTAAATTCCATTTAATAGTCTGCATTTCTAGTTTCCTCTATTTCTCTGTCTCTAATTTTTCCCAGCTCACCTGAGGACTTACTGTTAAAAGGCTGTGGATTATATGTTTGAAATTTCAATAAGAAAATGTCCTAGAGAAAAAGAAAGGTTGCTGTCCATATACAGTTATGTGGAATTGGGAGTGCAAAACATAGAACAGTTCCAATGCTATGAAATTTCAGGAACATATGTAAGACCTATCTGGTTATGAACTGTAAGCGTTCTGGAGTGATGGCTTTTTTGTAACGCAGAACACCATATTTTGTGGAATTTTCTTGTGACAAAGCTGTACGTCATATTGTGTCTTTAACTTAAAGATCAGTGCGGTGACAGTAGTGGTTAAAAGTTGATGGAGTAAGATCCCTAGTATTCTATATGTCTGTGTTGTTTTAATACAGCTGTAAAAATATTTTGAGATGTTCTGAATAGCTTGTATTTCATTGCGCTGTTTCACTGGGCCTTTCCAAAATGTCAAATTAGGAGTAAGGTTTATAACTTAGAGGCAATAATCAGAAAAGTAAAAAATTATAAATGGAATTTATTACTTAAATAGGCAGACATAAATGCTCTGTGTTGTGAACAGACGGTTCAAAAGCAATGTTTTAATATTATCTCTTCTTGTTCTCTCCTCTTTTTAAAATTAGGTTACAGGTTTGCAAGCCACATTACAAAATTTAGAGTCTGGATGTGCTATTCAGCTTCCTGTGACAAAAGGTGAAATATTCCCATCACCAAGCTCAGACTGGTTATGGGATTTTTGTTGTGTTGCATTTCAAAATCTGGTGTAACAGTAAATCAAAAATACTTGCACTGTAAACATTTTATCAGCTGTCTTGGTGATAGAGCAGCAATTTTATCATTTGAATATTTATTTCAAAATGTATCCACTAAGGACAGCGAGACTGCTCATGGCAGTATGGAATATGTGAGTAACTGTGGAAGGACTTAGTCCTACAAGTCTACTTTGTGTCTGATTTTATTTTATCCACTAACACTTTTTTTCATGCCAGTGTTCTTGTTCAACTCACTACAAGAAGGTATAGATAGTCATCTAGAAACATTTTGAAAGTACTGGTGTTATGAAATCCAGCCTCTTATTTCAGCATGTCTCATTTTTACAGGAGATTGCTAAGGTTATATAATACCTGCTGGAATAATATCTTTATCTGTATGGTACTACACTACTTCCCTGGTGTTTTGAATAAATGCATAATCATTAAATTATTTTTCTAACTCCACCAGAAAAAAACCTAGCACCTCTGGTTTCCTAAGTAAATGAAGCCCATGCTAGCACATTCTTTTATCACACTTGAGCAGCTCTCCCACTAATAATTTTGAACCTATTTTCCAATTTCACTTACATTTGATAGTCTCAAATAAACCAGGTTTCTAAAAGACTCTTGAAAATAGTTGAAATGGTGAAAAAGGGAAACAGTGAGCTCTACCTCCTTTGACAACAGAGTATTCACATGAGAAGGGGATGTTGCATCTACCTTAGTCATGAGCAAAACTCCAATCAGAGATTGCAGTTTATTTGACCTTGGAGAACCCCGAATTTCTCAGCCACATAGCTGACCAGGTATCACATATTATGCAACTTCCAGGTGAAGCATTTGTTGTGATTAGGACTTTTTTTTTTTTAAATCTGTTTCTTTTGTGCTTTTTTTTTTTTTCTCCAGTGTGTTAAAGGATTGAACTTCCTTTTTCACTGGTAATATACCCCAGGTAGAAAGCCACTGAGTTACCCCAGCTGCTGACAATCAAACTTCATTAGTTCCCACACTCATGGAGTTAATTTCCGTAGAAAGGTTAAGGCTGAGAAGAATAGTAGCTGCATAAACTTTTTTGTTTCTTTTTGGATTTGTAGTTGAGTGAAGAGGATAACAAGCATTTCCTTGACTATTAAGATGGTGTATTTACTATTAATGTAGACATTTCAACTACTGTCCAGATCTTTGCTACTGCCTGCCTATTATGAGCGTAGCACATTCGGTTTAGGTTTTTTCCTTCAAATTCTGTCTAATGTAGGTTGAAGCAGTTGGTCTCCTAAATTGTCTTGAATTTCTGTGAGCACTGGACTGAGATCTAATTATCTGAAAGATGCCCCTCATCCTACTTCAGGTCTTGGTTCTATGAAGATGTGGGAGGCTTATATACCTGGGGAGTCCCTTGGAGCACACAGTACTCCTTTTCTAAACTACTATTTAGTTAAGAGAGTAGCTGCTTTCATTTCTGGAGTTACCAGGAAGGGTTCTATAGTCTTACCCAGTATAAACTAAGCTATGTTTTTAATTCTGTATACAAGCAAATAGCTTGTATACTAAACTAATAGATTCTGTAAATAAAGAATTCAGATGTGTTAATACAGTGGAATAGTGAAGTACTGGCAGTAAGCCTCTTCAGTGTTCACAGTATCTTTGTGGTTTTGGGTTCTGATGCCTTTTTTGTATGAATTAGTGTTGTATTCCTCACCAAGGTACATTTCAGGCCCCCAAAATACTGTTCTGTGGCTGTACATACTGGATATGCTCTGCCGTAGTCTTAAAGTCTTGTTACAACTCAAAGTATAAGCCTTTGCCCCACTGAAGAGCACAGAGCTCATTCTCATCCCACTTCATATAGGGAGGTAGAGAACAGCTTTTCATTTTATGTTAGTGTAGGGCATATAGCATTCAACTTCTCAAGTCTGAGCACAATGAAATATAATGTGGGTTCTTCCCCCATGCTAGTGTTTTACAGTGTAGATGCCCCATCTGTCTCTTTTTCATATTTCACATACTTTCATTTGTTGTTTGAGCGATTCTAAAAACCACTTTCCGGCTGTTCACAGTACTTGTTTATTCTCAGAAAATCTTGAGAGCAATTTATAATACCAAAAAGTGACAAGCAGGGAAGCACTTTATAAATAATAATATTAAAAAAAAAAGTCTCCAACACAAATTATTAAGCTCATCAGCCACCCACGTGCCTGTACAAGCCTTAATTTGCTTCATACCCTGTGCATCATAAATTAAACAATATTTCAGTTCATTTCTTTACAGTGCTTTGTCCTTTAATACTACGTAATTTTTATTGCCCTCTGTAGGTCATACCCGTGTCTCAGTGGGTGATATTGTCTCCTTTCAGATACTTTCTGCTATGTCTTGAAAGATGGTCATGTTCTTTTGCCTCTTGAATTCTTACTCATGAGACAGTATAATCAAAATCTTGAGAAGTAAGCAGTGCATAGATACTGGAGAAAGGTTTGCTGCATTTTTCTCTAAATTTAAGTTCTTAGTTTGGAAGGAACCAGCTCTGCTGGACTTGCGAATCTCTGCTGTAAGGACACCTACAGCTACGTTTTTTTCTGTTGCTGTCTCTTCAGGGCTGACTTTTATGCTTTATTACATTGTAATTATAAGATACTCAGCATTCATATTGGCAAGTTATCATTTGCCAAGGTAAGATGCCTTTTCCGGACAGCTGACTGCTTTCACTGCAGTGCACAGCGTGAAGGAACAAGAATGGCTCTCGCCAGCAGCAGGAGATTGCTGGTCACTGCTCCTGATGCTGCTTCTGTCCCACAATCTGACTTGACCGCAGTACACCTGGAATGCTGGCTTTGGCTAGAGGGCACTGAGAATGGCTTTTGATTAGTTTTGGGTTTGCCAAAGTGTTTGAAGTTTTGAGTAGTGTCAGTGAGGTCCTGTACATCCAGTCCACTGTGGATTTGGGTTTTTTGTTTGGTTTTTTTTTTTTTTTTTTGAGGGTGTCATACAGTGCATAATAAAAGAACAAAGGGAAACTTTGTAGCATGCACAATGAGTTTGCATTGTAAATTTGTATCTGGTGCCTATGTAGAGAAAAAATTAAGTGGCTAATGTTAATTTTAGGACAACGATTCTGGACTTACTACTTAGGCATTCGATGTAGCAGCTTTCAGCCTGATGCATTTCAAACAATTGAAGAGGATAGCAGCCACAGTATAGAGCATGTAATTTATTGACTCTGTTTTTTTGATGTCCCACTGCCAGACTGCTGTTTAGCTTTGTGAACAGTGCTTTGTAGACAAAACCTTCAAGAGAAAATTCATTTTAAGTGTCTTAAAATTTATTAGAAGTTTAAGTATTTATTCCCTATTTAATTACCTGTTGAAAGTTGATATGAAGGACATTTAATATTTGGAGAGTAACTAGTTAACAGTTAGGATTAGGACTCAGTCATCTTGTAGACTCTTTCTCTGTCCCAGCTATGCTCACTCAAAAGCCAGCTCTGAAAGAAAAGTTGTATTTTGAGTTCAGGTTATTTTTAAAAAGGATTAGATGTTTTGTGCAAGAAGATTTGCACTAAAAACTTTTTGGTTTTGTTTTAAATCTGGTCTTTCCTGATGTGGTAGCAAAATCATACATATAGGGATCTAATTATCACTGATTTTTTTATTTAGATTATTGGTGTATTTTAACAGAGTGCTCGAACCCTTACTTACGGATCAAAACACAGTGTTAAGTGGTGCTCTGAAAAAAGGCCACTTTTGTGTGAAGGAATTAAGCTATGTTGATTGTGACTTGCTTATAAACCTAAGTGAACACTGCTGTAACAGCTGGTTCTAAAAACATGTTATAAAACCATTACTTGCTCAATAGGTTTCTTGTATTTTCTAAAAACAACAGCTGCTTATTTATTACCCAATTATATTCAAAGTTGAACTCAAGGAGTTTCTTTTCTCATGGTTGAATTAACTCATTGCTAAGACTGTTAACTGTGCTTTTCCTTTATCTGATGTAATTGCTGTTAGAAGGTCATGCAAAAATAAATTTAAAATGCACCAGTTGAAGTACTTAAACTTGCTTGTCCCCATTCCATCTACAATGCAATCAGAATAGAAAATCTCTAAACACAAGCTATTGACTTCTTAGTGCATTTGCAACAGTTCTTAGAATTTGTTCTTCCTTTTTTTTTTTTTAACTGATACTGGCATTTTAAGCACTTTGACTGTCATAACTCTGTTGGTTTATCAGTCTGTGTATTTCAAAAGCACCAACAAACCAAATACTCTGTGAGCAACATGCTAGTGGGTAGCAGTTAGTGAGCTGAGTAGAAAGTGTTTGACACACAAACTGATTTTCCCAAATACTGTTCCTCAGAGAAAGTTGTTATTCAGCGTATCTGTGACAGTAGCTTTAACTTTTAAAGCAGTGAGGATGCAGACATTTTGTTAGATCAAACACAGTTCTTTTTATCAGTTACAGTTTTACTCAGGTTGGGTATACAGGAAGGTTTTGTGTTTACTTGGTCTGCTTTTTTTGCCTCAAGAGTGGAGAGGGTGGTTCTTTTGCCCTTTAAGTCAGAAAGTTTGCATTTTGTTGTCAAGGCCTTAATAAAACTATGTTACAAGAGCAAGCATTTAGAAATGCATAGTGTGCAGTACATCTGTTTCAGTCTGGATTTTAGCTGTATAATGTGATTTTCAAACAGATTTTTTCCAAAGAACTGAGGGAATGTAGGTACCCAAATTCTGCTGGAATTCAGTATTCCATTCTTTTTTGTGTGGACCCACGTGCATACTACAGAGCATTGCAACAAGGTACAGGTATCACAAGGGACTGTATTCGGTTATGTGTGAGCTGCCGATGCAAAGACTGTCAGGCAGTAGTATCCTGTCTGCCAGGTCATGGCAGATGTGCTGTACCGTAGTCCCCATGTGTTATACTGTTCCTCATATTCCTTTCAGCCTATTCTGATGATTTACAGCTATGCTACCTGCTTAGGATTTCTTTGAGTCACCTATTCATAAGTAATTCCTTGTTTGAAAGGTGGGTTGGGAGGAAGCGCAGGAAAGCAAAAGGGAATGCAGGCTGTAAATCAGAATAATGCATTGGTGGTAGATATTGGATAGGATGCGGTGAGATGATGTTTCTTCTGGCTCTGAGGGAAAAGACAACTTGCATCCGTTTTACTGTGACTATCCTGTGCTGCAAGATTCAAAATCATTGTTGCGTTTTGGAGGCAAAATCTAGGGTACCATAAGCTGAGCTGAAACAGATCATGCCAAAATAATTTGTGGAGCAGAGTTACGTGTAGTCTTTATATGGATGACACAGTAACCCGAGTATCTTTTTATTAAAGTGGTGCTGCTTTTAGAATTTCACATGTCTAGCTAATATGAAGTTGAGATACTCTTCTGGAAGAGTAAGTGGAAAATGCATTCTGATGATATTTTTGTTGGTTTTATTTTATAGCCAGCCATGGATGTCAAAGGAAGAACAGGTTCGAAGGCCCCACCCAGAAGGCTCTTCAGGAAGCCAGGCAGCAAAACATCCTGGGTGCTGAAAGCTCTTCATACGATCCAGTCAAAGATGCAGAGAAGAAGATAGGCAGGAGGTATCCAAAGGTATGCAGCATTCTTTCCAGTTGCTCAGTATCTAATTCAAAGCACACTTGAAGCTTTTACTAAGCTGTGGTGGAATATACTTGTCCAACATGACTGAAGGAAGTCTGTTTTGTAGTGACAAATGCTTAGTAAAAGTATATAGGACAGGTAGGTAACAGGTATTTTATTTGTAATAAGAGTTTCTATTGCAACTAATTTTTCAGGGAACAGTAGGACCTCTGATTAGTTGAAGCTAGCAAGCTACTTTTCAAGAGCCTGATGTAATCACCCTGTAGACAAGGAGCACTGGCTGTAAATGCTATGTTTCTTTTGTAACTGGAGAAATCATGACCTATTCCATAGCGCTTGCTACCTTTTCAGGCATTTCAACCTGCCTCTGTCAGCTGTGTCTAAAACATATAACATCTGGAAGACTAAGGGCAAAAAATTGGTGATTTCTTAATAGCCAATGAATGTGTCTAAACTTGAGTATACCAAAGGTGTGTTGCTGTTTCAGTCTGCAGGTTGTGCAAAATCAGAATTAATTCCCGATTGAGGTATTTTATTGTTAAAAGGAATTTTTTTTTTAACTCACTTTAATCTACTTGGTTCATTTATTGAGGTTGCATTTTGAGACTGTATAACAGTGCTTTTTGTTTTTCCAAATCAAGGTAAACATCCTAATATCTAAACTTTCTTAAGCTCTTAAAACTGTTACACTGGCCTATTTTTGTTCGAGAATCACAGAGTTTAAACTGTGTTTTTTTTGAGAAGAATAAAATGCTTTAGTTTTCATTGATGTAGTCAGAATCAGCTTCTGTCTTGCCTTTCCCTATGTCCACAAGAATACATCCATGGTAATTTATTTTTTGTATGTTTCTTTCTGTTTTTGCAAGGGCATTTCTTCTGTCTGACACTGGCAGTGCACCTCTCCTCTGACATACATTTTTTTCTGTTTCATTCTCCAAATAAACAAAAGTTACTTTCTGAAACAGTTCTCACCACATATTGGAAATAATTCTCTGTACTGTCTCACCACCTCTGACTATCGAACTATTACTGAGGCACCTGCCAGTAAGGCTGTCACCACTTTCCCTGTTCTTCATTCAGTGGTTAAAAACTTCCATCTTGGACTCTTGTAGGTATCTCTTCTTTTAATTTTGACTTGTGAACGGAAAAGTATTTCTTGGCTTATGATATCTTATTTTTTGTTCCTATGTCTGCTGAAGTCATCAAGATTTTTATAGTAAACTTCAGTGGAGTGATGTTTCACCCCCAGAATACATAAACTCTACATAGGTAGTATGCCTGTCTGGCTCTTTCATGTTCTTTGAAATTCATGAGCTCTGTTAGTTGACTGGTTCTGGCAAGCATCTGTGTTTCTGCAGATCTTATGTTTCCCAGATGAGTCCTACCAGAGGCTCTGATGTCTTTATTTAATCAATGGATTAGAAAACTGGAGTAGCTCCAGAAATAAGACGTCAGAGAATATAGGTATGTTTAAACATACTAGATTTTACCATGGCTAAGCGATACTCTAAAACTTTAGGTGTGAAACTAACATCTCTTCCAACAATGGAACAATACCTTTTTTCACTTCAAATTTCCTGGATCTATGATTCCTAAATATTTCCTTTCCTCTAACAAAGGATACTACCTTAGATACCGCGTGTGAATTGTCTTATTTCTTAGGCTGTTAGAAATAAGCGGCATAGGGAATGATGAGTCTGTAGGGGGCGAAAGGGTGAGTTAAAATTGTGTTTAAAACAAAGATACTCTCAGAACTCTGTCCTGTAGTGCACATTATTGAACTACAGTTCTAATCTATTTTTTTTTTCAATAGTACATTCTTACTCAACAGTTTAGTTTTCTGAATATTTGTTCCAATCAAAAGGTTTAGGTATAAAGGAGTGCCTTGCCTTCCTCAGATCATTTTGTGATATTTGAAATCAAACTTCTGTGTGGTGCCTCATCTGTTTTGACCTATATCAAAAGGTCTCTTACATTCTGCCATGTCTTATGTGACTTGTATTGTTTCTTACAATGATTCAACATGGTAATGTCTTTATTGAAGAGTGGACCCTAAATAATAGTCTTGTTCTCATTTACAATAATCAAAATAACACTTTAAATGTTTTTGCGGAGGTAGAATTGACTTACCCGTATTCAGATTAAGACTACAGTTCATTTAAGTTCTTTTTATACCACGAAGGAAGAAAAAATCAGAGTATAAATTAGTTGGTTCCATGGAGTTCAGGTGAGGAATATATAGAAGAAATAAAGGCAATTAAAAATCATGTATTCAAACATAGTGTTTATGACAAAATAGAGAAAAAGAAAACAGAAAGCATGGGAAATCTAGGTAAAATTCACTGTCAAATATTGTTTAGCTCTTTTCTTGAAATGTAAGTGAACATCTAAAGCTTACAAAAGTTCAGAGTGAACAGTTTACCCAATTTTATAATTCAGGTGTTTGGATTATATCACGTTCATAAAGCAAATATATTGTCATGAAATTGTATCCTTGAGATAAAATTATAAATGTTTGTATTAACTGTACTGTTACAGAGGAGTGAAGTATGGAGATGAAAATGATTTAAAAATCTGATGTCTTGTAGCTAAATAGTGAGGTAACTAGTGTCTTTATTTTGAAGTAGATGCAAATATGACTCATAGCTGAGCCAGAACATTTACTTCAAGGACAGACATATATTGTGGCATTGTAATATCCTGTAAAAGCAGACACGTAATTTAAAACCTCAGGTCCCTTTGATATGAAGTTTATCACTGAAACAGTGGAAAAGCAACTGGAATTTTTGAGAGAGATTGTATTCTCCTGATTTTAAAATCTTTGTTGCAAGACTTGATTAAATTATACAGTAACAGGCAATTAGGCTAAACTGTTTACATATCTAGCCCTTAATAAGCCGGTATCAATAGCATAAATATTCTTAGATGAAGAATTTACATAAAGTACTGCTTTAAACATTTAAATTAATTAAAATGCACTCACAGGTCACTAAAATTGTAGAGAACCTTTGATAATGTGGTTTTGATTATCCTGTTGAAATATACTTTAAGTATTTTTATATTTTTATTCTCTCAGGTTCCTCAGAGTACATTCTATGTTTGATTGCTTTTATTAGTTATTAGCAGGGTAATTGCAGCTTCTTTGTTTGGTAAATTCTATTTCCACATATATATTACAGAGTAATTTCATTTTCTGAAGTTTTATTTGGTGCAAAACTTTCTCAAAAGGTGCATTGGACATTTCTGGAGTTGACACATCTGTTTCTGTGGAACGAATTTTGAAATTATGGTCAATGGTATACTAAAAAAAACACAAAAGTAAAATCCAATGGTCATACACACTTAACGGATTTTGTAATTAGTAAGACTTTGGGTTGAAATATCACATGTATACATGTATAAAAGTTTCTTCTCAGTTATATGGAAGAAAGCGTACAAAATTTAGAAGAACTACGGGTTCTGTGCTCTCACAGAATGGGAGCTAAAGCCAAATGATTACTTAATCAGAGTATTGAGCTTGAATATAAATGAGCACAGGCATATTGGGACAGAATTGGAAAGATGAGTTCCCAAAATAGTTAGGAAGTGTTGTAAATGAAATAGGCAATCATTCTGTGTGTGTTATAGGGTTACTAAGAAAGCACTGATGAGACATTCAGTAGAGAGACAATGACGGACAGATAATACTTGGAATATTTATTTCTGCAGCACTTCACTGGTATAGTAAAACTCCAGACAGATAGCTGAGAAAATTAATACCAGTTACAAAGATATAAGACCGCAGTCTAGAGAAGAGAAGAAAATACACTGTCTGTATTTCAAATGAGGTAAAAAGTGAAAGCTAAAAAATTACAGATTAGACAGTGTAACTTAAATTCCGAAAGACATTTGTAATGAATAAATGAAATTTTACTGAACATCTGGAAGAAACCAGGAAAAGTAGTAACAGTTAAAATCTATTTCCAAGGAAAAAATGTTTTAATCCAGTCTAAATTGCATATATAACAGGACAAAGCATCTCATGGATAGAAGAGGAGCAGTAAATGTTGTAGCTTTATCTTATTCTTAAGAGCTCTTATGTTTTTAATAAGTCTTTGGATACTGTCTCACAGATCTTTCCGATCAGCAGCTGTGGAAATATGGCGTGACAGAAACTTTCCTAAATTAGCGGAAAACAGATTGGAAATTTGCAAATATATTGAATAGGCTTTTTCCATGATATGTTGTCATTAATGATCTGGAAAATGAAACAGAAAACACGCTGACTAAACTTGCAGACCAAGTGAACTGGGTTTGGTGGGGGTGGAACTGCAAGCACAATTAAGAACAGGAGTACAATCCAAAACTTGACCTATTGGCAAATTGATCTGAAGAAATAACATGCAGTGTAAGAAAAGGTACAAAACTCTACCTTTAAAAAAATTATCAAATGAACAAATACAGAACAAGAAGATAAGAAACAGTTGATCAAATAGCTTTTATTTAGAATAGGCTCTAAGGTTTGTTGTATAAAATAAGCTTAGCATGAGTTAACAATGACATGATATTGCAGAACAGCTGGACACCGTACTGCAGTGTAAACCTGGAGTATTTTATGGAGGATGTGGAATATTCCTCTTGCTTTGCTCAACTGGCATGTAGCTTTGGCTGTGGTATTATGCTCAGTTTGATCGTAGTTCTTCAGGAGACGCATGGAGCATCTACAATAGAGCAAGAACAATGATTAAAAGGCTATGAAACATAACTGTCAAAGAAAAGGTGAAAACTGAAATTGCGTGGTCTACAGATAAGGACACTAAGGGCAGACAGGATACATCCTTAAAATCTAAAAGAATTCTGTTTAAAAAAACCCCAATGAAACAACCTGTTAGAAAATGAAGTAATAAAGCGTAAATCCAATAAAAAAGATTCAGATTACATATTAAACAAAATCTATGGTAATAAATATAGTGAAGCACTGGAATAGATTGCATAGGGAGTTTGTGTCACTG